TTAACTTCGCCAAAAATATAAAGAGAAACCTACAAATGACTGAAAGTACCAATGGCGTGCTGGGGAACTTTAAGTTGTAGTCCTTAAAAAGTGGAACAATTAAATTTCGGGAATACGTTCAACAAAGAGTTGCCCCTTAGCCACAGAAAAGCCACGTATGGGCTAAGAAAACTACAGTTAATCAAAAACACAATTCTAATTATACTACAATCGGGGCGTAAACGACGAAAAAAAAATTAAGCTTATTCGTTGCAGTTCATTATCCACTTTCCGTTAATCGACAAGATACGAATCATCTGAAGTAATCATTTGCCCCTTTATTTGTTTGTACAGTGTTTACACACAAAGTCTATTAACTTTTTTCACATGTTATGTATTTGGGAATCGATGCCTAAGACTTCTATTAATCCAATGTTTTCAATACAAATCTTTACTTATTTCCACACAGGGCCTGTACAAAAGTTAAGGGGTCACTGAGCTTTATTGACACTTTCTCAGTTAACATTTATTAAACAATATTATGCAGCTTATTTTGCCAATCTTTTTAGCAATACATAAGTTGGTAGTGCCGTGCATTTCAAAATAAAAAATTAGAGACAAGTTATACGACAGATAATTTTAAGGATAATACGTTCCGTTTCGAATCCGATCAATCGTAAAAAGTTTAAAAACAACTTCATTTTTTAAACTGCTTTCTTACAAATTATCTTTTTGCTTTTTTTGTCTAGGAGATGCGTACATACAGGGTGAGTTGCAACAATGTCTGAAATGTTTTCACGGAAAGAGTCAACTTTTTTTTGTCGTAATAATTGATAATATCTTAAAACGTTCAACATACTCCTTAAAGTACTCCTCCATAAAGTCTTTAAAACTTTGCACTAGCTTTTCGATTTTGGATCACTGTTGTTTAGTGTAGACATTACGAGGCGTATGGCGGTTGATGCTAGAGACTACATCAGCACGATGTACCTGTCACAAAACAGTTTTGCAATGAATGACACACAGAATTTCTAAATACCAGTTGTCGTACAATAAACTGCCGGCATGTTCGAGAAAGGCAATCAATCTGCTAAATGCGAAGAAGGCTCCCAATCCCGTAAATAGTTAGCAAATGGAAATCCATGAAGGTTTTCGAAATAGATCAAAGACTGTGCCGATAGGACAAACGAGATGACACAAAGGAGACGTGAGTAGAATTTGGGGATATCACCACAAATAGAACGACCCAGGTAAATGCTAATATCTCCCCATCCCTTCGCAACTGAAATGATCGGCTTTGCAATAATAACGCATCCCCTATTCCACGACAACAGAATCATTATTCGAAAACAATTTGGAGAAAAAGACGTAGATATCAATATTTAAGTAGATATCCCAACATATTTTATAAAATCAAGCCCTTTGTCATAGTAATAATGAAAACTGACTAACTAATTGAATGTACAAAGTACAGCTAACGTAGTATTGCTGGTTAGGTGTATTTGTAACTCTACAAGCAGATTCAATACTGAGTACCTGATGATTAATCACTGAAAAAGTACTGTCGCTGTTGTAGCTAATTTTCTATGAAATTTCACATTATAATCACGTTTTACAGAGGAAGCGTTTGAATTTACTGCTTAATCTCCATAATGGAGCACGGAATATTTTTACAGCGGCCAGGGAATGCATTGCATTCCAAATATATAAGAAACGTCTGTCATTTGTAAAAGGCGTGTAGTTGGCTTTTTTTTTAAAGAACTCGTGTGTATCCAACAAATGTAAAGATACTAGCTACAACAGTAACCAGTGGATTGAGGGTTTAGGCCCTGCAAATATATAACATACAAATAAACTATATTTATATAACCTTAATTTGGACCGGCATATCTTAAGTACAATGCCACTAATGGAAGTTTGTTAAACAAGGAGGGACTGTCTGTGCAGCAGCACGGAAACTACTTCAGCTAAAAAATAGAAATGAAAAGCAATTGGAAAAAGCTAGGCTTTAGGAATAACTTACCTAATCTCCTCTAAAAAGAAACAACTTAACGTTTAGGATCGTGAGGCTGTTCGTGGGTGCTTCAGTGGAGACGCCTAAAGGACATAAGTAGGCTTACACTTGAAACTTCGTATCGTTAATATTGCTTTTATCAAGTCTTAGCGATTTAATTTTCTATGCTGTTACTGACTACCCTGCAGTCCGGAACACGTCACCGTAGCTTCGATTCTAATTAGGAAGGCGGGAAGGGGGTCGCACATTCTTGTAAATTGTTAAATCCGTCTTTTAGTTAACTATTAAATCAGTTAATTAACTTTAAAACGACGAACTCAATCATAGCCTGGATTGGAATGGTATTAATTATTAAGGAATCGCCATTATTTCATATTAGGAAACGACGGACAGCAGAAACTGTTTCCGACTGCTTGCATGCTGCGTTACTGCTAAAAGCAGTAACGTCATTACGTTCTCTATATGAGGGTGGTTGCAGGTAATACACTCATTCACGTGACATCTCACTCACGTGAAACCCATCCTAAACCAAGCGTACAAGCTTCAAATCCAATGGCCTTAATAGATGTACTTTCATAATCTGCTATGATCATGGAAGTGCGATACCTGAGCAAATGCAAAAAAGTTCTCAAAACGAACTGTGGCAGGAACGTCAAAAAGAAGTGCAGAAGTACTTAGCCGAACATGCGCGGCTGCCTCGTTGACTTACTCAAGTGCAACTTTTGAATTGAAAAACTTTTCGGTTAGGTACAGAATGAGATGTAGGGTTATGACGTAACACTCATATATTTTTCTGCACTTCTATAAAAGCTTTTCGAAAATACTAATCAATTTATTCTGGCAACCTTGGCTCTGTCGTGAGTGTGGGAGCTCGATAGGAGGGGCGCGCTAATTTAAATGCATCTATCAGATGATCGACAGCATATATCTGGGTGGTTTTGAGAAAACACAAGCGCCCGTCGTTATTATGCGTCACTCGTGTAGAGTTTCAAGCTAAAGCGATCAGTGAATAGCTGACAAATTTTTAAGGTGCTCTTGAGATATTTGTGCATGGAACATTCTGGGATGTACTGCATGTGACTACTGTTTGGATGTTACCTTTTCAAGGCAGAGATTGTTGCCTGTTTTGGCCACGTTTAACCTTTTTCTTTTTTGGTCTTAATGTGTTTAACCATTACGAACTTGTGAAGCGTTTATATTGAAAACGTGTGTTCATGTTTTTGAAAACTACCACATGGATATAAAAGAGGATTTTCGAAGTATACATACATATATATATATATATATATATATGTACGCATTTCTTTGCTGTTGAAGGTGTTGGTAGTTTCAGTGAAAACCTAATAGAGTATTCGTAAAAATACTACTGCAAAAATTGACAAACGAATTTATTGCAGTGATAAAGCGCAAAGACTGTAGCATTGTATCGAAAACATTCTAACGGAATGTTACGAAACGAATTACGAAACAAACATTTCAATAACGGAATGAAGATAACACTGTACCAAAATAATAGAATGACTGCAAAACAATGATGGAGTCATAGAGGCAAGGTAATAGATTGACTGAATCACAAAATTGAATTCCTATACAAGGATAAACTGATTAATTAATAAGATGTCGAAAGAATCGCAATCAAGCTAAAATTTACAGCTTAGTTTGTATTAAAACGGGCTTTTCTACCTGCTCTATTTTTCAGATAATTTCAGCATTATAACATTGCTGCTAAATTACTTCAATGGAAACTGGAGGCATTTTAATGGGATTTTGTAATCAGCAATAATAATGAAGGTGATTTTGATTGCATTGACAAAGCTTCTAGTGGAGTCAACCACGCAAATACTTTCTAAATTTGGATTTTTTTTGCCTGCTTCAGCGACTGTTCCTAAGAGCTAAATTGAACTAACTTGAACTTGTTTGTCTACTTAGTACTGCGTACTCAAAAAATATTTTTTTTCTTTTTCTGGTCGGCCACCTTCTGTTTTATTTGAATGACTAAATCGAAAATAAGAAGGTGATCAAACACTTTTGTAAGGCATTACATTAATTGGCATCATAGCTGTATATTTTTCAGTACTTCGCATCTGGTAGATACAAGTTCTTCGTTCGCCCTGGATCTTTATATATTTTCCAGAAACAACACCAATATCGCAGTAATCCCTAATGTTTTATTATTTAATTATCTTTAGATGAACGTAGACGCGATACTTCTATCAGAATATATCGATAAGATTATTGATGCAGGTTATGCGCCATTTCTCTCTTTATGGTTAAAATTATATTCATTTGGCAATTATCTCATTTAAATGACTCGTGTTTAAAGAGGTCTAACTACGTATATAAGTGAGGAAGTAGAGCTTTACACGGAACGCATTTCGCTACTATGAGGCTATCGTCTAGTTCTCTTTGAATCATTGAATTCATGAATGTAGACTGTCTGTCACCTTTTCGGTGATATACTGATATGCAAAACAAGATTATAGCGGTTCGGGTATTGTCGACAATGATAATAGTGACGGGAGTTTCGTAGATAGTACCCAACTTCGTCGCCATGATAGCCTAGTAGTGGGTAACGTATTTGCTTGCTAATTTTCTCTAAAATTCGGAACATTACGCCAGTACTCGTAATAGCAATACGAGAAGTCTAAAACAATGCGTAACCGCAGTATCGGGTGTAAGGATTAGACATTTGCTATTTGAGAAAGAAAACCTAAAATATTATAACGAATAAGGATAAGAATATGAAAGTTGCTTAAAATTAAAAAAAGAAAACTTCGGCCAGTTTTCAGGCACCTACAGCTCGAAAAACCGAATAAATGCAAAGGTTATTTTTCGAATTCTCCTGCGCCATGTATCCAACATAGAGTTATTTGTATACATACAGTTGGCTGAGCCGCCGCCGCTGCTGCGGCCGTTGTCTGCTTAAGTGAGTGAGTGAGTGAGTGAGTGTTTGGATGAGGGACGCGCTGATGATTCCTGGGTGAGGCAACATGGGCAAGGGAAGCGGCTTCACCGCGTATCAGTTGCTGCAGAGTAGTCGTCCCTCTTGTTTGCAGCGAACTGAATGCCTGAGTTGGAAGCGATCGCGGAGGGCGCGGAGCTACCGTAAGACGGCAGTAAGGCGCCAAGGGCAGAATAGAACCGCCATCACCCAGAACGGCCGCCTATTGCTGCCGGACCTCCCCCAAGCGCTCCGAACAGCAGCAGAGCAGCCGCTGCAGAAGAGGCAAAGCATCATTGTTGACGTCGATGCTATTGTCGCCAGAAATTGCATGATAGCACGAAGTGTAACGATACGGCTGAGCGCACTATAAACGCACCGACGTCAAAAGGGGCGCTAGGAGACGTCGAGTGGCAGAACAAACGACCACCAGGTGGCCGACGCAGTTGGCAGCCTATCACATCCTCTCGAGTCATGCTGAGAATCAGCTGCTGAAGAAGAGTGGATGGACGCACAGTGCTCTCAAACAGCAATACAAAATCACGCCCCTTACGGTTCTTCTACAGGCTGCCCTACACTAGTGAGGAATGAGTAAAAGTATAGCCTTATATAAGACATAAAAAGGATTTATCTCGTGTGAATACTGTCAAACGCTACTAAAGATCCAAACCAGTAGCGCAGTAACCATGTGCCAGTTAGTATCTCTCCAAATGGAATTGTAAACGCGCATCGGTGGCTGGAAAGACTCGATAAAAATGATCTGCAGTGATGTTCAGTCTGTGCTAACCGCCGACCGGCAATCTAAAAAGCAAACAATAATTTCTGTTTAACGACTAGTTCAAAGGCAGGAAGTAAAGAGGTAAACTAGGATTTTTCGTCGAACATCACGATGTGTTAGCTGGTAAGTTGTAGCAATATTAGGTAAAGCGACAACAGAAGAAGATGCAAATATATACAGAGAGACCGCTATCAGTTTATCTCGCTATATCCGATGTTTAAAGTTGCCGTGATAATAATAATCATCATGATGATATGATGAAATGAGTCGAGATTAAGGAAGTAGTATCGCGGAGATGGATTGTACAGGATGAGAACGGCTTATTTGTTAAGTGACATGAATAAATACTCTATTGTTAGTGACTTTCTATATCGTACTAAAATATTATATGCGTACGATATACTTTTCAGCAACCATGTTGTCCTTTGCCGTTCAACTAAGATTCATACAACCATTAATATTTATCATATTCTGCAATATTTACACAGCTATGTACACATTTAGAAGTCTTCAAACCTCTAATAAAATCCAAAATAGAATGATTTCTGACTAATGCTCTGCAAAATGATCATGATTGCTACAGCGGTAGCCTGATCAAATTAGCGGACAGCGTTTATAAAGGAAAATGTAGCGGAAAATGGAGAGCGTTGGGTCATTGCAAATCAGACGCTTCAATTGTGGAAAGACAGATTGCGCGGACATAATTTCAGCTGCCTAAATCATCAGGTGTCCCACGCAAAAAAGCAAATGGGTTGCGCCCCAATAAAGCAAGGCGCAGTTAATTCGCCGACCTGGAATACAATTCAATGTAGTTGTCGTTTAAAAGGCGTTGCATATATATTTTTCTGGTTCTGATTGATTGTATTGCCTCCATCGAACACCTATCACGTGAAACTGTTATATTTTTCGAAAGCTGAAGTCTTATATATATATATATATATATATCACGGGGAAACACCTTCGATTATTTGCATAGAGATGACGAAAGGGTCGCATTTAAATGTGATTTTCTATTAATTATGTGGGAGGGGTAGAATTCAACTAATTTTTTGCCTTACGAAGCATTATAAGTTACGTACCTTTTTTTCGTTATTAAAAACGGTCCGCCTTTTAACTTAAAAATCACTCGTTAGAACGTTTGAGCATAGCCCTATTGAAACATATATATATATATATATATATATATATATAATGTGTAATTTAAACGTTTTAGAAAATGACTTTTTATAGAAATTAGTCGGCAACTATAATCAGTTCACAACTCTAAGGGATTTGTTCAGCAGTTCTTT